GTTGGCAGTTACCTAAATTGTGTCGTGTCTCCCTAATTTCGAATATTGCTAAGATTAATATAATAATTAATAATAATAATAATAATAATAATAATAATAGACTTTAGATTTTATTGGCCATTAAATACATTATAAGAACAACAAATGGCAGGTCACAATATCAAACATATTCTAATAACATTAATAAAGAGCAACATAATTATCAGATAGACAAACACCAAACATTGAAACAAATATTAGGTAAAAAAAAAGTAAATAAATAAATAAATAAATTCCCAGTTAGTATTATGGAGACACTCGTGACGCAACACGGATGTACTCATCTGCGGTATAGAATGCGTTCTCCAATAGAAATTGTTTTATTATATTACAAAATTTAGTGAATGGCAGATCCTTGACAACGGTTGGTAGAACATTGTGGTAATTAATGTGCAATTTATTTAACTCGGATGTGCGCAGCCTAGAATGGACCTGGACAATTAATTCAGATCCCCTGGTGTAGTGATTGTGGCGATCACAGTGCTTAGGCATATCGTTCTTTAGCTCATGTATGAGAGTGACTGTATAGTAAATAAATAGTGATGGTAAGGTCAAAATATTAAGCTTTGAGAAGAGCGGGCGGCAGTGATCACGAGGTTTAATAATAATAATAATAATAATAATAATAATAATAATAATAATAATAATGATAATAATAATAATAATGATAATAATAATAATGTGGGACGTTATTAAGACTATATGGGCGAGGTCTGATTTTAAAGCCACTCACACTTAAACCATATCTAAATGCAATCCACACATCTTCAAGTAAGCACGAAGTTATAACAATAAAAATATATACCTTAAACTACTTATCACACCTTAATACAACATTAATTTACACTTAATTTATACATTTTAGTTATTTTGCTTAGGAAGGAGTAAATACCCTTTTTAAATAGAACCTGAAAGATTTGCAGGTTATTAGGCATATTATCCTCATCGGCAAAGCTAGCATTTTTGGGAAAGTATAAGGTGCTTTTCGATTGGACTACGAAATAAGAGTTTTTTGTATTTCCATTCATTGATTTTCATTGCTTTTGGATAATACATCGATACATGATTAGAAATCAAGAAAACTGTCAAGTATCAAAGGCTATCAAAACTTGTTAATAAATAAATAAAATAAATGAGTTATTTATGCAGTAAGTGCTCCGTATTTTTGTGTTACCAGTTTTGAAATGTATGTCTATCTAAAAAAGGATTTAAATAACGCTTTTATATAGCTTGCACCACCTTTAAATTGGAACCTTAATTGTCAAAGATCGGCCTAATTAATTTTTGTACAATTTGAACAGGTCACTATCTATATTTACGCTGCCCTTTTTTGAAATTAAATTTGTGTTAGGAACAGTATTTAAAAATCTAACTGTGCGATTCCATTATGGTAGTTTTTATAATGTCCAGAGATGCGAATAATTTGTTTTTTATAGTTGCCGGTTGAATATCAATGGCTACCATTATCGGGAAAACTAATCGAAACGACGGTAAACCAATTAAAATGTGATAAATTCGGCGGCGTGAAACGTATGGGGCACATAAAACAAATTGAGCCAATAAGAAAAATTAGATGAAATTTAGATCTCCATTATAAACGCGTAAAAACGTCGGAACCCCTAATCTAAATTTAATACACCTCCCGCTCTTCCTGACGTCATGGACGTTTCGGTCCAAGCCTGTAAAATTAATGGTTCGGATATACAACGTTGCGCATTCGTGCCATAAAAATAGCTTCGCTGACGCGGCAGACTGCTACTGACAGTTACATTTTAACGCAAATGACTATAGAAAATAAAAAGCAATTTAGCATTTCAAAATAGTAGTATATTTTTTTAAAATTTGTCGTTACATCTTTGCATATAAAAATTAAACTATCGTTGATCGTTGGTCGTAAAAACCTTTGGATGATCATTTTGTTGTTTAACGGAAATTAATTTATTATAAAAAATTAAAAGTCCTGAATCCCGTAAATTTTCAACAATTGTAAAGATGAATAAGAACTAAAAGTTCAGATTTTCAAGAAATTATATATTTTCACGTGACCATTGTGTCTATATCAAATGTGAAAAAGACACGGTGTTGTCCAAACAATTGTCATGTAAAAATATAAGTTCGTGAAAATCTGAACTTATAGTTCTTATTTATTTTGTTAAATAGATTTTCATCAAGTAAAAGCCACCTCAGTTTGCAGTCCTAGGATCGTTGAGAATAATTAAAAATCTCAGCATTTGTCGGAAAATTAGTATTTGCTTAAAAAGAAAAAAAATTAAGGAATTCATGGAACTAGTGCTGTTCATTTTGTGCACCAGGTAGCGGATGTGTTGGTGGATATATTAAATGCAAGTTCAGCAAAGGCTAAAAAGTACATATATGTATTTAGTTAGTTTTAAAATATTAAAAATATTTTGAAATTTACTTAAATGTTGAATCATTTATGACACTACATTAATTAATAAATTAGATACGTAAGATTTGCGTCCCTATCAGTATTTTAATTTAGAATCTATGAATCTTTACTTTATTTTACAGGCATAAAGCATATTTCAAGAAGTTGTACCATGTCTTTTTGAAATAAAATCTTATACTTTAATTTCAAGTACATATATTACTCTTGTGAGACATTTGAGGAAAATAGAAAAATATCGCAATATTCTTTCCAAATGATGTGATTGGAGTCAGCTATATTTCGCTATCAATAGAAATAAGATTATTCCCACCAATTGTCCATTGCATTTAAAATCTTACCTCAGTGTGAAAAAAAAATGTCAGCATTTAATAATTATTTTTTCATTTTAGTGCAAGATTTTGTTTTTCTTTTGTATTTAGTTAACAGAATACAAAGCTATACAGTTTTAATGCAATTTTATAAGCAGAATAGGTTTGCAAAATTTTATTAATGAAATTCGATGTGAATAAAATGCACATATCCCAAACAAAAAAAAAACTTATTTCGGTGTAATATGAAGTTTCATTTTATCCACCGTCGCTTAGTTTTTGCTGAGGGACTAATTTTTTGGCAAATTTCAAGGAGATGTCTTTTTTTATCTACTTTGCTACAGTTAATATTAAATAATTTAAAAGAAATAAATATTTTCTTTACTGTAAGTTGAGTTTTTAAAGTTTCAATAATTTTCAATATTTTTGAACCTAGGTTTCCATTAATATGTTGCATTAGTTATCCACATGGGTCCGTAAAAAATAGTTTTCATTTGTCAAAGGCAGACGTGGTTTTACTTTGTAAAATGAACAAAGTATGCGAAAATGGTTTTATGCAATAAGATTTATAAACGACATTTACTCACGAGTTTGTTTAAGCACGAGTGTTGGTGGATAAGTTTATAAACGATTTTCATACTATACTTTTCGTAAGAAAAAATGTTTGGGTACATATTATTTTTTGCAGTCACATGTGAAGTGACTGTCGGAACTGACAAATGTCAAAATAAAATCAGGGTTTCAAATCCAAACTCGTAACTAAAGTGCCGTTTTAACCTGACGCTTTGGGTGCGCCTAGTCAGTGCGTAATGAGGTATTTAAGGGTAGGGATGGCAAAAAATGAAAAGTTTAAGCAGCAGCTTGTGATTGTACCTAATACATTAAAAGTCAAAAATTATACGATTTAAAAACTTCTGCAATATCCATAGGATGGCGAGATAAAATGAGCATTTATACCTTTTAGTATCGGCTATCGTCTCCAAAAATACAAACATTGATGCTTAAAATATGTTTCACCACAGGTGATTTTTTCGTTTGTCCCATTCGGCAGTCGGCCTTAGGTTTTTTTTAATTCGGGTTTTGTTGTTCCAATGTAGATATATCTAAACACAGGTACACGATATGCGATAAACCTCAAGCTGTCCAGTTTATGTTTCGGTTGATCTTACAAGGTAACAAAATGAAAAAGTAAATTGGTGCTGCCAATCCAACAACTGCCACTAGATTTTCTATCATCTCAACTTTTCGAGGTACAGGTTAAGTGATATTAGTTCCTAAATAGGACTAATATAAAAAAATAAACAATTACTTATTGGTCGAAATAGAAATTTCCTTCACAAAATTACATTAGAAATAGCCAAATATATATCCGGGATTGTCCCTGACCTAATCATCTTATACCAGGTTTGCAGCAGTGATTTCAAAATGGAAAATTTTCTTGCATTTGCATTTCAGAGCGCCGAACTAAAAATGAGCACTGACTAATGCAGGGAAAATAAAATGTGTTCAACGAAACCTTGCTTTCGCAAGAAAAAATTCTACTTTCATCCTTGCTGATGAAGCAATTTGCGAGGGCTTTTGATCAAGATGGAAATTGTTTTGAGTAGTTGTCAAGTAAATTTCCTAGGATTAGCACGAAAAAAATAAAAGCTGGTCCTCAAAAAACGCAACTAAATCTGACTCTGGGAGTTCATTTGTTCAAGCAATAAAATTTCATGAAGAAGATTTTGACATAGAATTAGTAGGACCTTCAGCAAGACTGCTTTAGTAAACTCAATTTTCAACTCAAGTCGTATAGAACAAAATTTTGTTGTAATCTAAATTTATTTATTAGTTACATCGTAAAATATACAACAAGTTAAAACTATAAAAACCCTATCTCAAAAACTAAATACCGTGGATAAAATCTGAGTTTTTTTTTACAACAGTTGAAAAATCGCACGCACCAAAACATGGTTGATGGTTGGAAAAAACTTTTTTTAAAACATTAAAAAACAAAAAATACTTTTTGTCCTTTCAACCCATCCTATATTCAAATAATTGTTGTTATTAAGTTATAGCATTCGTAAAAACGAAAAGTTCTCCGCGGGCGAACAATTTGCCCCGACACATTTTAATCACGTGCGAGGAAACTTTTCCCTTAAACAAACACAAAGAGCTTTTCGCGTCCAAAGCGAACGACGTGACGCAATCCGGCAACGCTGTCGGCGAATCAGAGCTTACGCCGTCCTGCGAAGAGCGGCTGCTTTCGGCAGGGCACCGCACGGAATGTTTACACTCATTCGAAAGCTCATCTAAGCCGGATTTGCACATCATCGAAAGCCCATCCGCAATTCGAATAACCATACGATGTGATTGGACGGTGTCGGGTGGTCGAGACTTACCATAATCGTCTGCGGGAACCCGTGTATCATACGAGACAATAGATTTGCGTCGTTGCTAAACGGTAGCAAGTTTGTGTCAAGGGACGAAATCACTCCCAAGTAAACTGCGACTGAAGAAGAGCGTGAAGAAGTAGAGAGACAATATGTAAGTGTGGTACAGGTTAGGACTGTTTGTTTTAGTCGTGTCTTGAATGTTTTACTATGGCGATATCACAGTTTTCGTCTTAATTTTATGCAGAATACCTGTTTTAGATGTACTTTTTCTGATTTCTACAAATTGATAGGAGCATTGTTTTCATAGTTACCGTATATAGTTAAATAAAATTCGGCAACATCTGAAACTATATTTCCTACAAAATCCCCCATGGGAACCGCAGAAAGCTTTCAGGTATAAAAGCGCTCTATTCTTACGATTTGAATTTTCATTTTGTCTTCCGATATATGCAAAATAAGATAAAATTGTCTATTTGATGTTTCGATGTTATGTGCACCGTAAGAATTTGACGGGAAGGCAGTGTCTCTATGGTTAAAGTAGAAAGAATTCAGAAATGTAAAAAATCCCACTTAACGTTAGTGTTTTTTATGGAAGAATACCTATAATTTATTCGCATGTTTACTATAAAGATAATTCTTATTTGATCAAATCTCGAGTAATGAATCCCAATAATAAATGAGACCAAATCGAAAATCACATCCTTAGATAGTTCATATTTTTCACTTATGTAAGGTTTATCCAAATATTTCTGTTTCTCGTGTGGTACGAATAACTGACTGAATTTTTAAAGAAAATAACATCCCAAAATCAAACGTCCCTTTATGGCAACAGTATAAGTTAAAACAATTTTGGTTAGATCTTGGAATATCTCAATTTTCCAAATTGTTAACATAAACTGTGTTTTAATGACTAAAATGTCGGTAATTGTATGTATCTCAGAGTGTTGTGGAAATGTGAAATTAATTGTATAATATTTAAGATATCTTTTGCACAAGAAAGTTATAAATATTGCAGAAAAAAATCACAATAGTACAACATGTACACAAATGTATAACAAATCACAGAATATACGAAATAATAAAAAAGAAGATCTTAATTTTCCAAAAAAGCATCATCAATCCATCAAGGCTTTAACTGGATTTCTCGTAAAAGCTAACCCAGAAGATTCTGAATAAAGGTTTCGTAATTAAAACTTATTAATTTTTTATTAGATATATATTAAAACTTTTGGTTGTCACATGTTTTTCCTCAAAAAAAAAAAGAATTAAAATGACTGTATTTGTAAAAAAAAGTATAAATTTAATTGTTGAAAGATACGTGTGTATTGTATTGTATTGTATTGCATAGGCTATTTTATGTTTGACGGTGAGACTGGATATATATTTTTTCCGGAATAAATGTTGTATTATGAACTTTATATATTTGCAATGACAAAAATATGTAAAAGATAACATTAATGGCCAAAATATATAATATTAATAACCTAATGAAAATTTATAAATAGCTGAATTATTAAAAAAAATTTCAAACCGGATTTCTTCGGTACTTACAATTTTGCACTGGTCTGAGTGTTTTTCAGCGACGAATACATTTTACGTGTGCAACAATGTGAATTATTTTACTCCAATAATAATACTGTTTTCCTCATTTTCCCATAAAACTTTATTGCAGTCCAAAACTTGAACAATTTCAATTTTCTGTGGGCTCCGGCTCCATGTCGGAATATTTACAATGAAATTGTAAACATTTCTTTCGTGCAGTTCGTAATAAAATTTCCCACATTGTATTTTGAATACCATTGTACGAATTAACAAGGAACATGAGAATATTTTTAAATCTTTTTAATTTATCAACGTAACGATTGATTAAAAAGTGTAGAAGTAAATTCAGGCTATTTACTCGGCGCAAAGAACGATTTCGATTTTTCGAAGTTAATTTTCAATAACCGCTTACGTGTCTATGCAACGAACGTTTCAAAAATTGAACTGAAACTTTAATACTCTCTAGAGCGAACCGAACTAATTTGCTGTCTTACTGTGAGTTGTTGGCAAATGGCAACAATTCAAAAATTTTAAATTGCCGATTTAACATGAACGCAATTGTTTTATTTTTAAATTTTAATATGAAATTTTGTTGAGTTCCTTATACAATGCGAATCTGTAACTTGCAATAAATTCAGAAAATCGTAGAAAGTTCTTTTGCTCGGCCATGTCGAGCAATATTTGAAATTGGTATTTGTATACAGCTTGTCTCACATTTTATCATTAAAAATCTGAAGCAATTCTAAGAATGAAAAAATCTAATCTCAACTCAATTCACATTTGATTCAGTTAACGAGGAATTAAAATTTTGGGAACAATTTGGGACACGCTGCCAACAATTTTTTTACAATTAATTTAAAATACTAATAAGAAAAAAAACTTATTTTATTTTTTGAATTTATTTTTTTAGAGACTCATTGCATATTCAATTTAAGGGAATGTTTATTTAAATTTAAACATTCCACACCCATTTTTTTTTATTGAAACACAGCGCTACATTTGTAAGGATGGGATTTTTTTTCTCGTAATCTTTCCTGTCTTGTGTTAGACGAAACAACATCGAAAACAATTATTTAAAAAAAGGGGAAATTTGGAAAGAAAGTAACACGAGTGATTGCGTATACATTTTTCTATATGTACGTGTGTTCCTATCTAACCGTTAGTAAAAAAGTTGAGTTATATGGATCAAAGATAAAATTATATGAAGATAGTTATTAAAATGCCATAAATAAATTATCGTATTTTCATTTTTCTTAATTATTGACTCTAATTTTTTTCTATAAAATGAAGCGATCAGCGAATAGAGCCTGGTCCTTTCCAAAATCACAATCAGTAGACAAACCTAACTGTGTAAGGATTACACCATACGAGACGGATTAATGTGGGATACGTGGTATATTGGATATTTGTTTAATTTAGTATTAATAATTTGCCACAATCGGTAGTTGATTAATTTCAGGACTTCGTTTTAGAGCTCCCTTTAAAATGACTCTCTCAAGTTGCCCATGCCACCACAAACATAAAGAAACTCTTCTGGGGAGAAACTTGGCAGGACCCTTTAAACTCTTATTAACACTGAACATAGGTGACAAAAATTAATTTCAAAATGTTAGTAGTCAGGAAGTTGCCCACATGCCCTCTCAATATAATTTACTTTACTAAATGTAATAATAAAAAAATTGGGCAACACAACTGGTCTGCGCTAGACTTAAATCATTAAAATTGACTTGCTCTATACACAAAATCGTAATTAATTTATTAATTAATTCATTTAAAGTAGTCAGTAAAGTACAAAGTATGTCTATGTCATGCAAATGTGGAAGCTACCATACACGCTTCCGGTTAGAAATTGTGTTATACAAATTTATGCGCGTATGGATTCCGGCGGAACATCTGCGCGAACATGCATCTTAAATAATTATGAGAGTTAAATTATCAAAGGGAAATTTTTAGATTATTCTCTGGTTTAAATTATTGATTTGATTGATTGATTGATTTGAAAATTTTTGCAATTAAAATTTGAATTTAATAACATATTGAATCCAGAATTTTGAAAAACTAGATCAATAAAATACATTCTCATAAAAATATAATATTGCCTAGGAGCCATGAATAAAAATTTTGAGAGTTCGTGCATTTTTTGTTTTTGTTTGCATTTCTCGTATATAAGAAGCATATCAACTTTTTCTCCATTTGTAAATTAATTCCGTTATCCAAATATGAACACGCAAAACCTGTACTGTAGTTTTTTTTAAATTTTTTCTTTATTGTATTAAATTCTACAAATTGTATTGTATTGAAAATTTTCATAATTTAGGGACACTTTACTTTTTATTAAAGGCTTTTTGTACATTTTACTACACATTGTAGTACAACAGTACTGTTAATATATTATATGTGTTCAATAGTTACTTGTGAGATATGCTTTTATTTTATATTGTGTCATTTGCACCACTCTACAGACAATAAAATTAATTATTGGGTGGCAAATAAAAGCATTATATAACTTTACAAAGTAAATGAAAAGATTCAAACAATGGCAAACAAATTCGATGAAATTATTTAATAAAAATTAATTTGTGTAAAAAAGCGTTGCTAATTTAACATTTTCCTCTTTATTTCAAGGGGGTATCCCATTTTGGACACTTTGAAGGTGTATTTCAGTTATTCTTAAAGATAGACAGTCGCGGTTTACGCGACACTGTAGGCTATTTTTTTGTGAAATTAAAGTTGCTGTCAACGAAACTATCATGGCTCTCTTGGACCACTCCCGTATTTCCGTCGCTTTTGATTTATTGAAGAGTTTAAAAAACGTTCCTAAAATCCATTGCCGTAGTTAGTTTTTTACTTGCTGCAACCGTTTTAATGTAGGATTAATATGGGTCGAATGTCCAATTTATTGACAATATGTATCTATGTTTCGGGTTGAGCCGAAACGACAGTAAATTTCGAATTTTAATTGGTACAATCTATATTTTTTTGCATTTTTGGATTCAGGAGGTTATTCTACGCAGAATAGGACGGTTTTCTCTTTTTTTTAATTTTTGAAAATTTTTGAAAATTGTGTCTAGGAGGCTGTGACCATCATAAATACTATTTATCGGGTCACCTGATCATGGGAAAAATTTAAATGAAACTCTTCTTTACTTGTCTAATGGCAAATAGCCTGTCGAGAGTTTTTTCTGCATTCCCCGTATATCAACTTTTTCTCCATTTGTAAATTGATTATTGCCTTCCATGATTGATAACACGACAAAATGGATAATCAGATAAAAATGTATAAACTGTCAGAATTTTCAATCATGCCGAGTTGATGATGAATAGAAGCAATAATATTTTGTTTTTATAAAAATGTGTTTACTTATCTGTTTTTTTCCTTCCTGTGAGCTTTTTGTTCCCACCAGGGTACTATTTGAAAAACTAGGTTGTCCTAAAAAATTAATAGATCATTCGACAAGTAAAGAAAAGTTCCATTTACAATTTTTCCCATAATCAGGTGACCCGGTAAATAGTATTTATGATAATCACAGCGTTCTAGACACAATTTTCAAAAATTAAATAAAAACTAAAAAACAAAACAAAAAATAACCATCCTATCCTACGTAGAAT